GAGCACGTCCTCGATGACACAAATCCAACCCTGCTGCAAGAGCTAAGCAGCTAGGAGAATAACTGCTGTTACAAGAGCATCTAACCCTGTCCTGCTTGTGGGAGAGGAGCCAGTGTCTCTCATGGTGGCAAAGCTCCAGCATCCAAGGGATCTCATTGCTATGGAAAATGGAGCTTTTCTGCTGCAAATGAAAAACGTGGGTGACCTCCCTGGCTGGAAGCAATCCCAGGATTTTACACGGGCTCTGCCTCGGAGTTGGAAGCTTTGGTGAAGAACCAAAATGCCCAGGACTTATTTGGGTGCCACAAAGCCACAGAGAGGCTGTCACTGCGAGCCCTGTGCCTGGCATCTCACACACGTGCTCACAGCACGTTCCTCCCATCCGACCAACATTTTAAACCCCAAAACCAAACAAAACGCCCCAAAACAGACAAATCATTACGGTAAAGAAGTGCTGCAGAGCTTGCAGAAACACGAGCGACTTAACAGCTCGCAGCGACCAGGCGAGAGGGCAGGGAAAACCACAGCAAAAATGCTGGGAAGCAGGAATCTGTTTAGCTGGAAGGCGGCAGCAATGGCCATGTGGTGATGGGGAGGATGGAGTGACCACACAGGTGGGTTTTAAGCACAACTAAGGGCAACCCCAGGCACAAAGAGGCTCCTTGGGCTAGTCCCGAGCTGCAGCACTTCTGCCATGGCACACAGAGCCCTCAGCTTCACTCCAGGTTTCTCCTGCGGACTGCAAAAACACTCTCCTCTTCTCCCCACCTGTGAGTGTCTCTGCTTTCTGCTGAGAAAAAATGATGCCTGCACCGCACAGAAAGGGAAAAAGAGGGTTATTTCAGCTTCTGTCGACACAGGGAGCTCCCCTGCGTCGTTCCTGCTGTATCTCCCCTCTGGCATTACATCAGGACATGGGGCTCCGGCTGCTTCCTAGGGAACTCCAGCACAAACCTTGGCAGATCTCTTCAGCTCTTTCGTTAGACTTCCCTCCCTGGTGCCACCAGAAATAAGTGATCTCTGTCATTTGCAGCCCACGCTCAGTCACTTCTGAGCTGCTTTTTTTTTTTCCAAACGTATGGAGATGTTAATGTTTTTCCTCCTAAACTGATGCCTGGGTAAACGTTGCAGCCCTTGATGGCAGTGCCTGGGTTTGCTGCAAGCGCCTCCTTCCTTCTGCGTAATTCCAAGTATTCATCCTGGGAGGGCTGTTGGCCTTTTTTGCTCCTTTCCCACCCAGGAAACCCTCCCTTGGGATGCAGCACCCCCCAAGCTCGCCCCAGCACCACGTTTTCCCCCACGGCCCGCTCCAAAGGGGGAGCGGCGCCGCCGCACGCACCTCCGCTTGCTGTTCATGCTCTCCACGTGGGACCAGGAGTCGCTCTCGGGGTCGTAGACCTCCACGGTGCTGAGGCGGAGCTGCCCGTCGTAGCCGCCGATGGCGTAGAGGAGCCCGTTGAGCACGGCCACGCCGACGCGGCTCCGCGCTGTCGCCATGGGCTGGCACCGCTCCCAGCGGTTGGCGACGGGGTCGAACACTTCCACCACGTTCAGCGAGTCGCCTGCGGAGAAATTTGCTGCTCACGTTAAAAGGGGGAGGCCGATTTGTCGGTCTCTGCTGTTTCGTGCATTCCCTGCTAGCAAAATCGCCCTGGGAAGGGGCATGGAGGGAGGGAGATGCTGCTCAGGCTGCACAAGGGTGCTCAGACTTTACCTGCTGGTTTCAAGGGAAAAGGCTGCTCTCATGCTTCCCGCTCCAGCCTCCCCACTCCTACACAACAGTCGGATTAGGGGCATTTCCCAGCCACAGCTCTACTCCCCGACAGAGAGAACCTGCTCATGGTTCACTAAAAAATTAATTAAAATTGCCCTCTGCGACACAAAACGAGGACAGAGTGCTTCCAATCTGCCCATTCCCTGTGCAGCAAGTCCCTAAAAGCCCGGAATGGTGCGAGAGGGGCCGGTTATAACCACAGAAGGAGCAGGAGGATCGATCAGACACAGCCACCTCCAGCATTTCAGTGTCCCTTCAGAAGCCAGAAAGGGCTGCACAGAGCGAGGAAACTACCCAAAACTTTACAGAGGGGGGAGGATGACGGTCCCAATGCTTCAGCCTATGAATTTCTGCACGCTGCAGGGAGCAGAGGTGCAAGGTACCTGCCGAGTTGAGGCCTCCCACGGCGTAGATGAGCCCCGCGATGGACGTGCAGCACCGCGGCCGCGTCTCGGCGGGGCGCCCCCGCCGCTCTGGCATGAGGTGGAAATCTTTCGCCTCGTCAACAAGATCCCTGGAATCAAAGGCAAAGGGATGTCTGAAGAGAGCTCGGTCGAGCGTGGCCTTTGCCAGGAGGAGGCCTTGACCATGCTGAAGCAGATGCAGGTTTGGGCAACAGGCTTTTCCCTGACCAAAAGGGCTGATTCTACTGGAAGAGCCCATCCCTGGAATCAAAGGCAAAGGGATGTTTGAAGAGAGCTCTGTCGAGCGTGGCCTTTGCCAGGACGAGGCCTTGACCATCCTGAAGCAACCGGGCTTTGGGCAACAGGCTTTTCCCTGTCCAAAAGGGCTGATTCTACTGGAAGAGCCCATTTCCCTCCCGAAATAGCTGCTTTTGCCAGAAGCCTAGCCCTGCTGTTAGGTGATCAACAGGGAGGCTGCTGCTGCGAGGTGCGACGTCCACGGAGAGAGAACTCCGGTCTCCGGGATCCCCGGCGGCATTCCCGCTATCCGGGATCGTCGGAAACATTCCCGCTATCCACAGACGGTGCCGAGAGCCCCCAGAGGTTCCTAAGGCCTCACCTGCATTTGTGGCAGCAGCGGACAAGGTCGTCCTGTTGCACGCGGTCAGTGAGAAACTGGGGCCGGCAGAGGGGCAGGCGGATTTTGGCCAGGAGCTCGGGCAAGTAGGACTCTCTCTGGTCCCGGTCGTAGCGGATCCAGGCGAGCGCGGCCTCAAACACCTGCAGGAGGGAGGCCAGGTCATTTCCACAGCATCCCAGAAGGGCTGGGGCTGGCAGGGCCCTCCAGGGACCCCCCAGTGCAGCCCCGGCTCCAGCAGGGACACCCAGAGCACGGGGCACCCGGGCGCATCCAGGCGGGTTGGAGATCTCCAGAGCAGGAGCCTCCACAGCCTCTCTGGGCAGCCTGTGCCAGGGCTCGGGCACCCTCACACCAAGGAAGTTCTTCCTCACACGGACATGGAGCTGCCTGGGGTTCAGCCTGTGCCGTTCCCCCTGGTCCTGGCAGCGGCAGCACCGAGCAGAGCCTGGCCCCGTCCTCCCTGCATCCTCCCCTCAGGTATTTAAGGTTTTCTTTCCCCCCATGGGACAGCAGAATAAGAGATTACAAGGGGTGACCGGTGCCTGGTTTCACCTGCGCTCTCTGGTTCTCCTCCTGTTCCTCCTCCTGTTCTACTGCATTTACGTCCAGACGAGGGCACCCAAGTCACCGCTCGGCCGTGGTTGTGGCTGCCACCTCGTGGGACAGCCCTCGTGGGACCCCATGTGTGTGCACCCATTTTGGGGGGTCTTTCATTGCAACTTGGGGTGCCGGAGC